ATATTGTATCAAACATTTTTTTCTCTTAAAATGCTCATTAGTTTTAAGGCAACAGCGTGTCCAGTCTTGGGTGGCTAATGTAGTTGGTACCTCCTGCAATCGCTCATGCAAAAACATTACATTGTTCCTAATGCATAATGTAAAGAAGTGGTCCAGAAGCGCCTGCCCCAAAGCATCATGGGAAGTGTATAAAAAGCCCCTTCCTCTAAGGGCTCTACGTAGATAATGTTGACAGATGAGTAAAGCAGATCACATGATCCTCTCTCGGTGGATCACTCCTTTTTCCTTTCCAAGGCACATGAATGTGAGTAAGTGAGGGGCAGCAGATGGGATCTAAATGGATTATATGATTAGACTGTAAAGTAAAATAGTAGGGTTTTGTGAACAAGCCGTAATCCCCAAAGTAACGCTTACAACTGGGCACAAACCACTGCCTATGGCTCAATTTTATTAGATTCTCTTGCAAACCATTTATCATATTTCCCTTTCCTTCAGCGTTCTCTCTTAGCGGTAAAAAGGGAATATTGTGTTCCTGTAAAAAGTACAGGAGCTCATCGAGCCGGATGGGATGTCCTCATTTCGAGCTGCAGCGATCCACCTGAATATTTCATAGAAGAGCAGAGCACTTTCTCTCTCCCTTTACGTCATCACAGATATGATTAAATAAACACATGCGAATGAGGTCACATGCAAGGTCACACATCCAGCGTGACCACAAATCTATAACACAAATGCATCATCAATACTAAATACAATGTTCCATGCTGGCATCTTGTTCAATTAACTCTGGATACGGTACTCGGTACTGTCCTTGTATGATTCGCAAAGGACCATGTCAAGGACACTCGAAACAATTCATTTCTGTCCTCCTTTCTCTGTGGACGCTCAGTTGGGTGGTTTTGTTTTGTTGGAGTGTTTGGTAGCTACAGTAACTACTAGCCAAAAGTTGCATGTTGAGATTGTTTACGCAAATCAAATCAGAGTTAATTAAATACACAGCGATTTTAGAGATGCAGTGGAAAGAGAGTAGAATATGAAAAAAGTACCCAGATTTTTCACCTAGAAAACAATGAGATTGACTAGAGAGAAAATGGAGACTTTGTCTTCTAAAGACTTTTCTGTCAGAGAAAAATACTCCAGTAACCTCACTTTTCTCCTTTAAAGTTTCAGAAGAGTTCTTTATGTGTCAAACTGTGTCTGCAATCAAAAGTCAGAGATTTCTCATCAAATTCTACCAAAACCAAAGCTTTGTGATCCATATTAATTTTATAGCTCTATACGGAGTTAAAATGGTCTAATATTTGTTCCTTTTATTCCTCCTAAGGAAATTTTGAGAAACATCTGAGATGAAGTTGATACATACATAAGAACACCACTTTGTCACCTGAGCTTCTAAACAGCAACCTCTAAGCAATGGTATTTTCCACTGCTAGTCTTAATATGCAAAAATACTGGCATAAAAACATGACCAACATGAGCCAATAAAAACATTACAACAATGAATGAAATTTCCAACTTCCCTCACTCCCAGCATTCCAGAGAGTTACCCCTGCCTCTCGCCAACAGGATAAACATGCATCAAACTTACATTCATTTCAGGGCTGGTTCAGAAATACGCTCTTGGGTGTTCATCTCATAGTTTGACTATGGTGGTATCCACAAAACTCTCTCTTTCACGATCTCTCACTAACTCTGACACTCTTATCTGGCTGCCCAGCTGTCCCTGAGCCAAGGAAGCGCTGCTCCCTCCCACTCTGCCAGCCTGTACTCTCTCTCTCTCTCTCTCTCTCACTCTAATGCTGCCTCGATTCACCACAAACCGCTTGCTTAAAGTACAGCTGAACTTCATGAGGTTTGTTTGCTCAGGTCCATGGAGGATGGAGTTGACATTATAGTAGAGAGAGAGAGAGAGAGATCATGACCGGTGAAGAGATTAAATTGAGACCCTCCATATGACCTTCAATCTGTCAATGCCACTCCCACCTTAAATCACTTTCGTAGTGCATTTGCACCAATTCCACATCTGCCTCATCCCCATTATAATGCACACATGTCGAGCATCACCTCTGTTTCTCAGAGCAAGCACACAATGCTGAGGACGAGTGTAGTTAGCTGATCATGTTGAACAAATTTGGTTTCAGTCAGATTAAAGGCAAATTATTAAAATCAGTCACTCCCAGTTGACCAAACATCCACTTTAGTTATTGCTCCAACACTAGTTAACACACCGGCACTAGTTAACACAAGTATAAAAACAAACCCTTGTTGCATTACGGAAGTAATGCTTTAAATTTTAGGATTTCTCAAAGACACTTTTTTTATTTTAAATTTTAAAATGTGTAACTTTTTAAAGTAATGAACGTATAAATATACGGCATTGTTCAAATGTTTGGGGTCAGTGAGATTTTTTCAATTTTAAAGCTGCATTTATTTTATCAAAAAAAAAAAAATGCAGTAAAAACAGTATAAATTGTGAAATGTTTTTACAATTTAAATAAATATATTTGTAAAAATTATAAAATGCAATTTATTCCTTTGATGCCAAAGCTGAATTTCCAGCAGTCATTACTCCAGTCTCCAGTGTCACATGATCATTCAGAAATCATTCTAATATGCTGAACATTTATTATTATTATTATTATTATTAATGTTAAAAACATATGTTGTGCTGATTAATATTTCTGTGGAAACTGTTATACACTTTTCTTAGGATTCTTTGATGAAAACAAGGTTCAAAAGAACAGCATTTATTTGAAATAGAAATCTTTTGTATCATTATAAATATCTCTACTTTCACTTTTGATCAATTAAATGCATCCTAGCAGAATAAAAAATATGAATTTATTTAAAAAAGGAAAAAAAAGTCTCACTGAGCCCAAACTTTTGAACAGTAATGTATAAATGCAGTAAAGCAAGGAGAAAAAAAGAAACAACATCTGCCATGATGTTAGTACAGTTTGAGTTTGTGATGTGTTCAGTATCATTTGATCAGTATCATATGATGTGTTTAATCCTCGTGCGGTCCCATGACACGACCTGATCCACACAGGACTCCACGGGAACCTCCTGAACCTAGTGTGTGCATGCATATGTGTGTGTGTAGTATTTCATTATGCAACACTAGAATACTGCATATTGCACAGTATACAAAGTATGGTATACAGTAGTATGCTGTAGTCACCTGACCTCATTATACAATCTTAGAAAATGAAAAAAAAAAGGTCCATTGCATTTTTTATTAAATTTTATTTTGAGAAAACATTTTTGATTAAATCTTGACTGACATCACATCATCAATTTTCATTGGTTTTAATAGAAAAAAAACCTCAAACTACATACTGCATAAATAGTAAGAGTATAGTATGCTGTTCAGAACACAGCCTCATCACAGTGTGTGATGAGCAACAGAGGAAAGAAAAAAGGGGAGAGAAAATGAGAAAATCCCCTAGTCAGAGGATTAAGTGTGTACTATACACTTCACATTAGTCATTGGCATGATCTCAGATTATACTCAGCAATGTCTTTTGTTCACAAACACAACTCAAAGCACAACTCTGGCTCCAGGCTTCAGCTTAGCACACAGAGATGCTTTTTGTACACAATGCAATTAGGTCTATTATACACTCTAGATGAAATACAGTGGGGTTCAAAGGAGTTGTGAGATATGTGTGAAAATGCTTAGACTGCAAATGGTAAAAAGTCTGTAGTGGGAGACACTGTTTGTTGAAACCTTCCTTTTTAGGACTGATCATAAAAAATCAGCTGACTTTGGTCAGGTGACGTGACATCATGTTAGAGCTCCTGGGAAAACAGCATGAGCTGGTGGGAAAGCAGTGTTTAAAACAGCACCACCATCATGAATTAATAATCAGCGGCAGCACGTTGTCTTCAGGGACGCAGTAAATGGAAGTGCCCACGCACTGAGAACAAGATGAAACCACGTACCTGAGACAAAGAGCCTTTAATGAACTCTACCATATAAAATTATAATTGTCTGCAGAAACAAACAGATCTCAGGGGTGAATAAAATGATAATGAATAACACAACCATTTGAATTCACCATCCCAATCTTATTTAAAATAATAATAATAATAATAAAAACTTAAGTAAAATGTACTTTTTTTTGTGTGTGTGTGTGTGTGTGTGTAGGTTTGTATTTTTTTTTTTATATATATTATCAGTGTAATGTAAAATAATATAATAATTAAAAAAATGTAAAAAGTAAAATGTAGTTTATCGTTTAGCTTGTAGTTTTAAA